TGCACTACGTGCGATTCACTGTACAGCAAATGCTGATTCTGTGGACAAGTGACCGATTTCAGCCGTGGCTTCAGCGTCTATTTTATAGTGTAGGGGGTGGGCGCTTCTGATTCTAGAGAGCATTTGATTGGACAGAACGTTTGATGAGAAGCTGAAGTACGATGTGACGTCAAAAAAATCGTTGAGCCGTTTTGTCGGAAGTGACGAACTGCAAGCTTTGAATGCTTATATCTTCTAAATGCGAATTTTGTCACTGTTTTGGAGCACACTGCCTTGTAGATAACCTTAAGACTAACATATTGATACTAACACCCAAAAAACTTTCATTTTGATTTCATGGAGACTTTAAGTTATAGCAAAAAAGTACTCGAAAAAAATAGTTGAAATGTCAACCGATGGCTTCAATAAAAGCATTTACTATCAATTAACAATTTTAGAGGATTTAGAGGATGACTAAAAAGTATTCAAATTAATATAATCAAAATTATTAATAAATTAAAATAATCTAACTTAATTAAAATGCTAAAATAAAATTATTTTGATGCATTTCTTTCACTATTTAAATTAGGTCAATTTTAATATATTAATTATATATTTAATAATATTCATATATATATATTAAATAAATTTAAATAATTAACTTAAATTGCTTAAATACATAAAATCAAATATTATTAATAATAAATTAAAATTGGTTTTCAATAAATTCATTTAAATGTAAATTAAAAATCTAATAAATAACTAATAAATTAAAAATTGATTTTTAAAAAATGTGTTTAGCATTTTAGTTCAGTTTATATTAATTAATATTTTAAGCCCGAACGATATGGTTTTTTTGGGGCTAACGTGTACGTTCCCTTGGAACTGGAATCATGGCGGAATTTCATGTGAAGTCCACTTCGCAGGGCACTTACGGTCGAATAAGACAACGCTTGAATGCTGCTGCCTGAACAAGAGACCTCCTTACTGAAGTGAAAGTGTTGACTGTTGTCACCAAATTCGGGGGATCCCTTCAGCTCGAGGAGCCCTCTCGAACGCCACCCTCCGCGCGTCGGTAGCCCCCCGGGATCGCTTGATCGGTCGGCGCCAGACCGCGAATTTAACCACCCGTAACTCCTGAACCCCGGGGGCTATCGACGCGGGGGTGGTCTCATTTGAAAGCGGGCCTCTAGATGTACACTCGATTTGCGTTCGAGAGGGTTCCTCGAGCTGAAGGGATCCCCCGCGCCGTTACGGAGATATGGCCGTTCAAAGTTTCAATGGTTTTCCATAGACTTAAGCTTCAAAAGCGTTTCATCCGGGTCGCCAGTAGCAAACAATGGAGCACGCTCTGCTGGACAAACTACATAATTACACCATTTACAAGCATTTTATCTGCGTTATATGTTCTGTAAAAAAAATGTTCAAATTTGGCCGGCATATTTGCCGATACCGATATATCGGCGTCAGGCTCATATCCGCTGATAATATTGGCTAAACTATATATCGGTCGGGCTCTAATTAATATTATCCAGAATTCATTCATTTCAATAATTCACCATTTTTAATAAATGTAACCATTATAATGCAATAAAATACATAAAATCAAATAAAATAGATTTTAATAAATATTTATTAAAATTAATAATCTTTTGGTTTTGATTGTCTCTATTGTCCTCATTTTTAAGTTGCTTAGGATAAAAGCGTCTGATAATAGTAAAAATTAGTGTTTTGTTTTCAGCATCTTTTAATTTAATTTTACTTTGGTTATTTTATTTTATTAATTATGTTTAATTAATAAAATGCATATATATTTTAAATAATTCATATTTTGTAGCCCGTAAAGTGTTCCGCCCACTAAAGCGGCGTTTACCTTCTTGATGTAGGCGGCGATGTCCTTCTCGATGTTGTACTTCTCGAGCGCCTGTGTTGCGCACTCCACAGAGTCCTGCTGCATCTCCTCAGACATGTCCGCATTCTTGATCACTGCCTTTCTGTCCGACATGCTGGATCTGGAAAGACAGAGACATTTAATGCTGAACGGACGAGTTAAACAGGGCTCGATCTGAGCAACACCCTGTGACGCACCCTATCTAGTGCTCATCCTGCTCTCTGCCCCAAACCCACAGTCCTCCAGCATCTGCTCAGAGCCGGCCGCAGCAGCCGAGCCTTATATAATACCAGCACAGGAGATGCTCCACAGCCTTTACTCCATCTTTATTGCATAACATCACGTGGCATTATTTCGCCAGGTTACTGTTGCCATGGTCACCTGAGTTTAAGACTGTACTCAGCACCACAGATTATTACAACAAACTTATGATACTTATGCTTATATAACTTTTAATGAATTACAGTTAATTAAACAAAATAGTCTTAACTTACTGAATCAAACTGTGCCTTTTAAGATGCTTGTTTTTATTAGTAAACGACAAATGAATGGTGCCATGGTTATTTTTTAGAAATAAGAAACACTTTACATCACCTTTTTTAATGTTAAATGAAAGAATTACGTATCTTTTTGTTTATATTCTAATAAATCCTATCATTAATAATTGATTTCATTTATATTTAAGACAGTTGCTGAAACATAGGTGTGTAAACGGGCAACTGACGTTAGGTACAACATCGCTTACTCTGAGCGAAAAAAACAAACAAGATATTTTGTTCTACAGACTAATATGCATTGTAAACTGCAATCAACGGATGAAAGAAAAAGTTTTACCTTATTTCTGTGCAGATTTCTTGAGACTGAGAGAAATGCGACTGTGATGCTCCTGCTGTGTGCTTGACCAAAAGTAATGTAGTAGGTGTGCAACTGCCGTTGGCTCCTCCCGCTCTCGCTTCCCATTGGCTGTCGCTGCCATGCCCGGCTCTGCGATTGGCCGGCTGTGCAAGAGTCTCGCTGCAATGTATCTCTGCATTTTATTTCAGACCGGCATGCCTTGTGCCTAAGACGCTTCGCTGGTGTCCATAGCAACGGAGAATCAATACCCTTTTAGGCTACCCTAGCAACTTTCTTTTCAAAAAGCACCTAGCAACAAATTTAGCTATTTTTAAAATGTATTTGGCAACTTTTAGCAATTTATGAAAAGTGACTCAAATGATAAAAAAGGCATGCATTTTACCTCTTAACCACATCTATCTATCTATCTATCTATCTATCAAAATGCAATGTGTAATTTAAAATACAGGTAAAATGCTGGTGAAAAATAAATACACAAAATTCCTTCATATTAACACAGTACACTGTGCCCTGTTTTTATGGACTTTCCTTAAGCCAAGGACACACTACAGGACTGTCAGGCCGATTATGAATGTAATTTGGTCTTGAGGACGGATCGCGCCCAGTCCGACCGGGTCTGTTCCAGTTGGGCTCAGTCGCTGTTTGCAGTCGGCAAAAAAAATTGCATAGTGTGTGGTGTTTAAAGATTATAATCTTAGAATTCAAGAACCAGTCGTTTTCACAAAGATTTTTTAAAACATGTTTAATATTTGCGACTGAGGCGGCGGCCGATGGCGTCACTGTTACCCTGGAGACGGTATACTGACACAAGGAGATAATGGCGACAAAAAAAGTTTGCGGTGTAAAAGTACATTGGACAACTCACATGGAAGAAAAAATGATTGAACTTTGGCAAAAACATGAATGTCTTTACAATGTATCAGCAAAGACATACCACAATCGAAGTGACAAAGAAAAGAGCTGGGCGTCAATTGCTGAAGAACTGAATGTATCAGGTAAGCTTTCTTTCGATACAATTCAGACTATCCATGCAAATATTATTATTATTATTATTATTAATGTAAGAAATAATGTCTATGTATTTAGAATTTAATGTCATTAATGCCCAGTTCGTGTAATGGTCAGCTGTCCCATACTACGCAATGTGACTCAAAATAAAAACAATAGTGAATAAGATATATCTGTACATACCCTCAATCTGTGATTGATAGACGTTTGCTGAGAGTAGCGCAATGAGAGTTTCTGAGTGGTAACGCAATTTCTAAACCAAAATGCTAACCTGTCTCAGAGATACTGTTGTAGCCTAGATGCATAGCATTGCATGAGAGGCTGAAGATTTTCATTTACATCGACAGTAGCCTATATAATAATAGTAATAACAATAATAAGTAGGCTGCTTTACAATATAAGAATGTCAGTTTGCACACTCAATGGTTATAGACGTATCTATAGAATGAAAAGGAAAAATCAAGAACTGCTGCAATTGTCCTAAAATAACAATTTCATCTCGTTTGCAGTTGCTGAAGTAAAATTAAGAGCTTGCTCCTTGCGGACCCAGTACAGCAGGCTGCTTAAACCAAGACCTAGTGGAAGTGGTGCAACACACCTCCGCCCCCAGCCTCTAAGCTCCGGCCTCCGCCTCGGCCCGTTGCCCCGTCGGCTCCACCAAGGCTCCTAGCTCCCTCCTCTCCGCCGTGGCCCATCTGTCCACTGGTTCCGCCGGGCTCCCTCGTCGCTCCTGCTCCGGCTCCGCCTTGGTCTGTTGTCGACCATCCTGCGCCTCGGGACTCCACTCCTCCGGCTGCGCCTCGTTCCTCCGGCTCAGCCAGACCTGCCTCCTCCTCCGCTGTCATCTGGCAGCCTCTCTGCTCGCCCTCAGCCCACCATCTATACGGTGCGAGCTCTGCGGGCTCTCGCTGTGGCTGGAGAATCCCTCACCTCCGCCTCCAGCCTCTAAGCTCCGGACTCCGCCTCGGCCCGTTGACCCGTCGGCTCCACCAAGGCTCCTAGCTCCCTCCTCTCCGCCGTGGCCCATCTGTCCACTGGTTCCGCCGGGCTCCCTCGTCGCTCCTGCTCCGGCTCCGCCTTGGTCTGTTGTCGACCATCCTGCGCCTCGGGACTCCACTCCTCCGGCTGCGCCTCGTTCCTCCGGCTCCGCCAGACTCCTCCATCCCTTCGGCTCCTCCTCAGTCCTCTGTCGCTCCGGCTCCACCGTGGCCATCTGGATCCCCGTCTCCGCCTCGGTCGCCAGCGAACATCTGCTCCGCCTTGGTCCCCCGGATCCTCCCCGTCGCCCTGGCTCATCGGCTCTCCGTCTCCGCCTCGAGCTCCTCCGCCACCTGCTCCGCCGCTGTTGGTCGGCCCCCTGGAGTCGGCAGCCATCCCTGCTCCATGGCTCCTCCCTCCGTCGGCTCCACCGTGGGTCGCCATCATGGCTGTGGCCTGGGTTCAGCTGGACTCCTCCTGCTCCAAGTCCTTCCTGTTTCCTCCCTGGCTCCTGGCTCCTTCCTCTGTCTGATCCGCCCTGGCTCTTTCTGTTTCCTCCTTGGCTCCTCCCTCTTTCGTCACCTCCCTGGACTCTGTCTGGCGGCCCCCCCCTCTGTTGTTCTACGGCGCAAGGACGCGCCTTCCGGGAGGGGGGCGATATGTCAGGATTCTGGACTGTTTTGTGGTGTTTTTCCTCCCCATGTGCTTCCCGTGACCCAGTTTCTTCCTCGTGTTGATTGATCATTTGTTCCAGGTGTGTCTAGTTAATTACCCCATGTATTTAGTTCGAGTCTGTGCTGTCTGTCTCTGTCGGGTCTACAGGTTATGTTTGTGTGTCATTCCTCGTTCCTGTTGTGGATTTTTCCCTGTGTTTGTGGATTAAAAGACTGTTTAACGCTTCTCCGCGTCTCCTGCGTTCCTTCCGGCAGCGAATCGTGACAACAGAAGCAGACATTATATTTGCTCGGATGGTAGCAACCAAAGTTCCCCACAATGCAGAACCAGTCGGGCTGATGCTTTCTGTCAAATTCCTATAAAGAAATACACAGTAAAGTTCCACAGTTCCAACTCACAATTTTCACAATACTGAATAAACTGAAGCTTATCAAGACATTCCATTCACTCAGTAAATCAAGGAACTCATATTAACCTTTGCAATGTATTTAGCAATGTCGTTGTACTCTTTGCACAAATACTCAGTTGTAAGGACACACTGTAGAGCGTCCCGCTGCATCTCATCACTCATCGTTGAATATTTGACCTCATATGATTTGTTCGACATGGTTGCTCTGTAGCCGCAAGCAATTTGTTTTAATGAGAAAATATGAAATTAAACAGCACAGAATCTAGAGATTAACATGTTTTTGTGATGGTTCACTATTCAGCATGGAGACTTGCTGACTTGCTGGCTTGCTGACATTTATGACCAGGAATTGTTGACCCATAATGCTATTATCGGTGAAACCAAACTAATATATTATATATAAAATATACTTATATATGCTTATATATTTAAAAGGAAAATTCTCTCTTTGTCTTATCTTGTTTATATCGTGATTACACAGACATAGTGTTTGTGACGCTCCAGCTGTGTTAAACCAATAGTAATGTAAATGTGTAACTGACTCCACCTGTTCTTACCTACGTCACGATCCAACCTCCCTCTCACCTCTCATTTGACAGCATTCCTTCTTTTAAAATACCTTGCAACATGCTTAACGTTGAAGAGATGATTATTTCTGTATTATTTCATGGTTCCTAAACACAAACACAAACAAAACGAATGGCATGTGGCACATTTACTAACAGTGTTGGGAAGGTTGGAAATGTAATAGGTTACATTACAAGGTACCCTACTTAAAATGTAATAAGTAGTGTAACTATTTTTTTCAATTAAGTTCTTGATTAAGTTATTGATTACTTTTCTAAATTTCTAATGAATGTTTTCAACTGTTAATCATTTTCAAACATTTAAAGCAGGCAGGGTTAACCTTACAGTATATTCAACACTCATTACTGACAAACTTCTCAAAATCCTTCACCGCTTGAATTAAGATTCAAATAATTTAATTTTAAAGTACAGCCACCACAAAATCAGACTTTAGCAGACTTTAGAGATCATTCTGAGGTTAAATACAGATTTAAAATCCTAACAAGATATAGTTTAATAGCTAGGACACTGTTTTGGAAATCAAATTTTGCACAGCTATGACAGGAAACACTGGCATATAACCATGCTTTGGAAAAAAAAAACTGTTAATTTTAAAAAATAAAGCATAAGCATAAACCCAAACAGGAAATAAAAACTGTTATTGAATAAGAATGTGTCCTATTCATGTCCTAAACCCCTGAAACATTGGTGTCTTATATTTTAAAGCACTCAATGCAATTTGGGAAAGAAATCAATTAAATCTGTGTGTGTGTGTGTATATATATATATGTGTGTGTGTGTGTGTGTGTGTATTCTGAATGCACACACACACAGTGCATTCAGAAAGTATTCTGACCCCCTTCACTCTTTTCAGTTTTGTTATGTTGCAGCCTGATACAATTAATTAAATTCATTTTTTTCTAATTAATCTACACTCCATACCTCAATGATAAAGTGAAAATAGAATTTTAGAAATGTCTAAATTTATTAAAAAGAAAAAAACTGAAATATCACATTTACATAAGCATTGCAACAACACTTGAAATTTAGCTCAGGTGCCTCCCATTTCTCTTGATCACTGCTGAGATGTTTCTACACCTTGATTGGAGTCCACCTGTGGTAAATTAAATTGATTGAACATGATTTGGAAAGGCACACACCTCTCTATAAAAGACCTCACAGCTGACAATACATATTAGAGCGAAAACTAAGCCATGAGGTCAAAGGCTGCAGTTGCCTGCAGAGCTCAGAGACAAAACAAGTGATAATTGATGTCAGTTATCTGGATCAGCTTGATCAATAATCTCTTCTGTAGCTGCCACAGATGGTACTGATGTCAAAAAGATGAAATTCTGATAGCTTTTAATGGATATCAGTGAGACCTTTATAACGTAGCAGATACAAACATAAAATGATATAAATATCAGTGGTCACCATCTCCAATAATATGCCTAAAGGTGAGATTTAAATGCTTAGTTTGATGATCAAAACATAATGCAATGCATAGAGGCCTTAGAAATTTGCCTAGCAAATATGATACAGTACCTTTATAATTACGGAGTATAGTCACCATGGGATTTGTCAGGTTTTTGACCTAAAAATTAAATAAGCCCACAGTGAATTATAGTCATGTTTATTTAAACAACCAAAGCCATGCAACAACATTTGGAAACAAAAATCACCACAACTTAAAAAAAAAAAAAGCAGACCCTGAATTTCTTAGCACCTTAACCAAATGGGTTTGAACTGTTGCTGTGGATCAGCTCGTCTTGAAAAGCACAATATGTTTATTGCCAACATCAAAGGAGATATAACAGCTTTTATTGTGTGTCACATGGCTACTGCAGTTCCCCACAATGCAATGCCAGTTGGGCTGATGCCTTCTGTCAAATTCCTGTAAAAAAGACATAGTATTAGGTTCCACTGAACTCACTTCACCAAAACACTCATTCTGCACCATTAAGCTCCTGAAGAAAGAAATGACTATAATATCAACCTTCTTGATGTAGGTAGCAATGTCCAAGCCATCTTCATACATATTCACAGCCAGAAAAGCACATTGTAGAACCTCCCGCTGCATCTCATCACTCATGTCTGCTATTTTAATCTTAATTGATGTTTTCGCCATGGTTGATCTGCAATTGTAAGCACAGATTTTGTGAAATATTATTTCAGTTTAAAATAGCTGTTTTCTATGTGAATATATGTTGAAATGTAATTTATTTCTGTGATGCGCAGCTGGATTTTCAGCATCATTACTCCAGTCTTCAGCGTCACATGATCTTCAGAAATCATTCTAATATGCTGATTTGCTGCTCAGCAAACATTTCTGATTATCAACGTTGAAAACAGCTGTGCTGCCAAATAAATAAATAAATGTTTTGCTGCCAAATTATTTTTCAGGAATCTCTAATAAATAGAAAGTACAAAAGAACAACATTTATTTCAAATAGAAATCTAACATAATGACTTTACTGTCACTTTTGATCAATTTAATGTGTCCCTGCTGAATAAAAGTATTAATTTCTTAAGTAATAGTTAATATTAAGTAATATTCATTATTAAGTACTGACTACAAACTTTTGAATAGAAGGATATATCAAGGAAATTTCTTACATTGGCTTACCTTATTTAGTGATGAATTCACTCAGTGTCTGTGATGCTCCAGCTGTGTTCGATCAAAACTAATGTAGGCTAAATGCGTAAGTGACTCCACCTGTTCTTGCACAAACCAACCTCCCTCTCACCTCTCATTCCTTCATCTGAAATACCCTGCAGCATCTACACTGAAACATATCATTTCTGCATCCTTGACTGTTCCTAAACATACACAAACAAAACAGGACATTGATTAAGAACAGTGGCTCGTAGTATTTATTGCATGAATAAATGACACAACCTGAGGTAATACCACTGATCTATATATAATATGTTCTCTATTATAGATCAGTGGGTAATACTGTCGAGTGTGATGAGTGGGGCGGGGCAGAGAGCCGTGATAGGAGTCCCACGGAGGAGCTCCAGAAGGATAAAAGGAGGAGTGACGACAGTGCAAGACGAGAGAAGACTGTAAGGGTGGTTTCCCTACAGTGTTTCAGGCTGTAGGATTGCAGAATGACTAAAGAAACGTTATCAGAACGATGGTACATTTCTTGTCTATTACCACCCACTGCCACTTATACCAACGATGGAAATAAGCGCAGTTAGAATAGCAAAATATGTGGGAGAGCGTTGCTATTGAGTGACTATATTGTATGGCAATAGGTAGCCCTTCAATATTAACCTTGAATCAAGACTAGTTAGCACATAATTTATAATCGAAGTGGTTTAATAACAATACTTTGTTCCTTCAAATATTGTTCAAATATGTTGGCCAAACATTGCATTAAAAGATCAAATTAAAAGTTAGTGATAAAATAACAAAGAAACGCATTGCAGGTAACATAAAAAGTGTCAGGTCTATTGCACTTGCACTGCAAGACTTAAATGCACAGATCTATTTTGACATGCACACCTGATTGTTTTTGTCTCATCTACTGCTATGGTTACTAAAATGTACAACACTGCATTTTTAGATTCCGTCCAGCATTTTCTTATGCTCAGTCGCTTTCGATACTCGATACCACCGGTGCATGGAAAGGCTGGTATGGAAGTCCCGTTACTTTTCAACAACACTGCAGTTCTCAAATATGTGTGAGAACTGAAACTAAAACTGCTTGATTATTTTCATTATTCAGAAAACAAGGAAGATAAGATTAACGTGTCAAAATCAAGGCGAGTAATGCTCATCAAAAAAGCTTGGACAGGACCACACACACACACGAGTCAGATCTGTGTCTGCAGTAAAACTACACTGAGAATCAGTTATTTGTGATGTGAGCACTATATTGATTCATTATTAGACAGATTATTGTGATCAGTGTATTCTCAGCAAAAAGAAAGTCAATATATCATCCTATAAGAACAATTCATTACTCAGATGTGCATTCATTTAAAAAAATCCAAAATCCAGAAAATAAAACGGACCTGAACTGATTTGTGGGATTTTTAATGCAGAATCCAAATTTACACACAAACTTGAAGAATCTTTTGTGTCGTATTATGGTAGACTATTATCTAAATAAAAATATCCCAATAGCATCATAATAGATTTTAAATAACACAACCACAGACAATCATTCATTTTTTTTCCCAGTTTGCTTTCCTGCATACCAGTGTTGAGGGTGTTGAAATAAAGACATGTTTGCTGCTATACTTTTGACAGAATGACATTAACATGAGTATTGACATGCCTGTGAAGTCATTACTCACTCTCACTTCACTCTTGGATTTAAAACAAATATTATGCACGGCTATTATTATTAATAAAAAGCACCATCAACTACTGTTATGTAGCTGCTTTCACAACTTTAAAACTTTAAACACATACACATCTCTCCCTAAATGGCTCTTCTACTCTTAAAATATGCTAATTTGACCTAAATGAGCAGCGCGCACACAGTTTGAGGTTGGATTTTGTCTCTGTCTTTGTTTCACTCGCTGCGCTCCTTTGGTTCCTTGTATTTCCACTGGATGTAGTCAAAGATGTCCTTCTCACTGTCCACCAGCAGAGGCTCTCCAGCCACACCTGGATCAAAAACAGTCATCAGACATGAGCTACAGTCACACTCACAAGAAAGATGGTCAAGTAAACCAGCAGCACTAGACTAAACTAGACTTCTGGACGGACAGAAATTCAAAGTCTGCACAAACTTCCAGCACGTCCTTCTATGCAGTGATGTATAAACGTGAGTCTCACCAGTGACGCCCAGTGGACGGATGGTGTATTCGTTGAGAGTGAAGCCCTTCTCCAGGGCATGAGTCCTCATGTTCTTGTTGAATATATCACTGCCGGTGAAGTACAGCACACCGCAGAAATACTGATCTTTTGGGATAAGCCTGCAGATCCAGAGAGAGAGAAACACATGAGGAACATATACAGTCAAACCAAAATTATTCAGACAGTCGTCAAAGATGATTGACAATTAGCATACAGTTTGGATTGGTGGTATGGTTCTGTTCTGGGCAAGAACTCCCTGCGCATCCATGCAGGCTAGCATGGATGAGAGCAGGGAGAGCAGCGATAACCCCCCCAGGGTAAACAGAACAGAACCAATAAAAATGTATTGCAAATATCGTTAAAGTTCAATAATGTTATGTACACATTTTAGAATTAGTCTGATTCAAAGGAGAATCAGAAGGCTGAATCCTGACTGACAGAGGAGGAGCTGGGGATGGAGGAGGGTAATTAGTTATTGAGCAATGCGAAAACTGCTGATAATACTGAGGGAGCTTTGCCTTGTCCAAATACCCACACTTGCGGTCTGGGCCACTTGAGAGCGCGTGCGCGCGATAGGAAGTAAGTGCGCAAGACTGTCCCAGGTCTTAAAAACGGCAAAGCGCAGTGCCCTTAACGCACACTAAATCCACACCATCTCGAATATCGCTCCGGAGCGCTATTCGAGGCTTAGTGAATCCCATCATGCATCCTGTTCTGGAAATAAATCGTGAGACTTTTTGCCGAGATCTCGCGAGAGGTCACGGAAACCTTTCCAATGCAAGTTAAATATTCATATAATAATTAGATATTACATATAATTTGGTAGAAAAACAGTGTTTTTACGTTTTATTGGTGCAAAGATGAGTAGTGGTGATATTTATTTTGAACCACATTTGCAATAGCAAACACTAAACCCCATCATGGTGACACACATGATACTGAAATAATGCAATAAACATTAATTTAACAACATTACATGTAAGATTAAACCCTATTGTACACAACTGATAAGAAAAAAACTAAGAAAAAACATCAAATATGAAGTGTCATGCAGGGAATTCTGGGAGTGTCAATTTACGTTTTTTTCACTGTAAATTATACAATGACTTTTTCTTTTTCACTTCCAAAAACCGTATTTTTAACAGTATTTTACTGTGAAATTACATTAAATGTAATTACATTTATTCACCGAATATAGTATGGAAACTTACTGTTAATCAGTTAACAGGTTTTTACTGTAGCATTTTTACCGTCTTTTACTGTTAAAATCACAAACATTTTTTACAGTGTGTGTTTAAATTGAACAGCTGACAGCTATTCAACCGAATTCATTACATACCTTTCTATCAAAGATATCTAACATTATCAATATGAATTTGTTCTGACACAGTTTCACTCTGAGTTCTTCTCATATTTTATTACCATTTTCTGAACTATAGCGAATAAACTGTGATAATGTGAGAAATGTTGAAGGTGTCTGAATAAATTTTGGTTTGACTAAAACAGGACGCTTTCTAGTCTCTACTACAGATGGCAGGATTCTAGATTTGTTATAATAGATGGTGGATTTTAGATTAGTAATTTGTTTATTTTGTATTTTGGTCCATTTTAAAATTGAGTCGATCTAAATTTAAATAGTTGATCTATTTAGTACTGATATTTCACATATTTAAAAATATTGATTACAAAATAGCAAAATAGTCACATGAAAATGTCCCTAATTTGTTTAGATGAAAAAAAAAAACAGGGTTATTATTGTTTACTAAAAGCACTTAAAATGTGTTATTTGAAATAACCATGTTAAATTAAATTAAATATTCATTCATGTTAAATAAAATAAACTTATTTTATTTCAGCTAATTGCCAACATTTCTCATTTTAGTTTAGTTTAAATTGAAGTATTAAAATAACTAAAACTAATTAATGAAACCTAAACAGACATGTATAAAAATAAAAACAATTAAAAATATTTAAAAAAATAATAAAAAGACAAATATATATTAAGATAAAATAGTTAAAAAAATAGTTGTATTTTATCAAAAATATAAAAATAAAAACGAATTCAAAGTATTCATAAAAGCTATAAAAGTACATCAACGACACTAAAATATCACTAGAAAAGACATTATAATGGAACTAATCAATATGAACCTGATGTCAATACGGCGGTGAAAATACTCTTCTTCATCTTCCTCATCTTTCTGCAGCTGACACACACCCTGAGGAAAAACATGCCTTATTTATTATTCAGTTATTATTATTATTTAAAATGCAGACTAAGACAGACAGAGACCCACCATAAACTTAGTGTCTCCTTTAGAAAGCATGTCGGTAATGAAGCCGATGGACTCCAGATGATCCACGACAGCATGAAGGAGTTTGGGCTGCAGGACAGAAATCACAGCAGGAGTTATGAGAGGAACAACACTGCATGCATTAAATCATCCAGTCCATAAAACTGAACGTTCACCTGTTTCTCAGACTGAGAGGTGAAGTCCGGATGGGTCAGCAGTATATCAATATCACCACTCGACTCTGCTCCTGAACATTAACAAATGCAATCATGGCACATTTAGATGATACAAGTGATAAGTGATGTCAAATATCTGGATCAGAACGATCGATAACCTCGTCTGTAGCTGCCGCAGATGGTGCCGATGTACTCGGGATCCACCACATCCAGTTCCTTCAGTATCAGAGCCTGCAAACATCAGGCAAACACAGTGAGACTTCACAAATCTGTAGAAATAAATCATGAAGATCACTGAAAGAAACTCCAACCTCCATTATCTGCATTTCTGCACGAGGGATTCTCTTCTCAAATTCTTCAAAGTATCTTTGATAGATGAAGACAGGAGCATTAAAATGAAAAACATCATCAATAAAGAATAGAGTGCATTCATTAGAAATACATATAATTCACAAATAAAACATTTGTCCTCTAGATCAGGGGTCTGAAGCGTGCTATTCCATAGAAAAGGTTTAGAGAAAAATGTAAAAATAAACTAAAACACTAATGCATACACACACACACACACATATATATATATATGTGTGTGTGTGTGTGTGTGTGTATACACACAGACACATATTACCCAACTAAATATGTTGATTACAATAAATTAAATTTTTTTTACATGACTAAAATAAATTGACACAAACACACACACATATATATATATATATATATACACACACAAATATTATCCAACTAAATAAATATGTTGATTAAAATGAATAAAAAATTTTTTTTACATGACTAAAATAAATTGATTAAAATAAAAAATTATTAAATAATAAATTGATTCAAATAAATTATTAAAAAATTTAAATATTATATATAAGTACAGTATCTGTAATAAGCAGACAAAATAACAATAGAACCACTAACAATAGAAACTATATATGTATAGTAATTTTAATTAACAGAATCATATAGCAGAACCCAGCCTGAACACATATTTATAATATTAATGTTTTTATATATGAAAATATATATCTGCCTTTTAAATTTCATGATGGGGGTCCCTCACAGGAGGATGATCATATTTGGGGGCCTGTAGCATCTAAAAGATTGGAAACCCCTGCTCTAGATTAGCACTAACACGAAGCCAAACGAACATTACTGTTGCCGTAAAACAATTCACTAATTTATCTGTTCGAATCAAGACTTACTTTAACCCGATCTGCTGATGATGGTTGAGTTTGTGCTCGATCTTCTTCAGATCTAAAACATCAGGTGAGACTTAAAACACATGCATGTGACGGCAAATAAATATATGCGCAAACTAACCGTATATACAAACCTTCTAAGTTCCTGACGCCTTCCTCATAAAACTTCCTGGCCGCAGCAGGACTAAAAAACAAGAGAATGAGTGTGAATTGAGTTTTACAACTCTATTGTTATTGTTCTCTTGAAATCAAGGGCGTCGTACCCGATCCCAGTCACTCGGGTTAAGAAGTTGATGGAGGAGCTTGTGTCGTCACTGCGAATCTACAGGACGAACAGACCACAAACATGTCACAATCTACACAGATCTGTTTCTCACATGCACATGTATATGTTAATGCCTTCATTTGCTTTCTCAAAGGTTAAATCAACTATAAAACATGCATTTCTAATGCACTCAAATACCTTTTCCAGCTTGCGCAGTTTTCCCGTCGTTAAAAACTCATCGATTTTCTCTGCTATCTTTGCACCAACTCCATCCTGAGAGGAAAAAGCAATCCTTTATAAAAATTGTGTCCTTAAAAAAATCAACAAGCAAGTATTACTCACACCTCAGGACATTAATACTAGTAAAAACAAAGAATCTGTACCAGTTTCTTTGCTTCTGCCCCACTTTTGATCTTTTGAGGGTATTTGGCGATCACAGATGC